ATCCACCTTGCAAAAGGAGGTAGATAAGTTCTGGATTGCTTTGTTTATGAAAATATTTGGTAACTTGTATCTTTCTGTTAATTGATGAGATTACATAGTGCTAAGACTTTACTAGTTTCATCTTGCATGTCTGTGTCATCATGAGTTTATTATTTGTGTAGGAAATAGCTAATATGACTTCAGATCCAGCTAAAACACATCTAATTTAGAAACTTAGTAAAGTCTGGAGATGAAGAAGGTGTCACTTACCTATCATTCACCAAATGGTGCTCAGATGGTAACTTGGTAGGTTATACTGAATACCAGTGCAATCACATTTCTGTACTTTCCTCCCTCCAATATGGAGGTATGAACAAGGTTGTGAATATTAATAGCACATCTTCTCACATAAGTAACCAAAGTCACGTCCTTCAATTTTACCTTTCTCATGCTCATAGATCTCTAGCATGATTTTGTTCTAGACACAAATTTACCATGGGAACTAGGCGCAACAATGTTACACAAATTAGAAAAACATGTCTCCTTCTATGAACTAATAATTCTGAGAGCCTGTATGCATATCAATTTTGAGAGTTCAGTTTTTGCTAATGTGGATATTACCTGTTCCAATTGAAAACAATTTATGTTATATTTTTTAGGATGCAAATACAGAACCTGTTATTTGCATTCGTAATCTTTTTAACTGGTCCTTTTTAGTGATGAACATTTATTGGTGTTAGTGTTGATATGTGTCATAAAGCTCACATGATTCTTGTAGGCTCTTTCATTAATGATGTTTGCTCGTCTTTTGTACTTGCGATTATTATGGCAGGAAGTCTCACTATTGCATACCTCAAGTCTCTGCCAAATATTATAATCATTTGAAAATTTCAAGTTGTAGATGATTAGATTTTCAGCTAATTTTCTGTTGTAGCATACACATTGTGGCAAGCTGACACTGACAAGCAGAAATCAGATGCCTCAAGCTCCTGAAGTTCATTTCAAAATAGAGAACTTACTAGACTTAATGAGTGCAGACAATGGAATTCTCGAATTTATGTGTGCCATTCAAAAGGTGTGTGGCTTTAGGACATATTTGTATGCCTTGGAGCTTGTACATTGGTATGAAACCTCATAAGTTATAGGGGAATTAGTGACACCATGTTCAAAAGCAGAGTTAGTTTTTCTAGGGAATGATTAGAGAGTTAGTGCTTTGTTAGAGTTGTTCAGGATGACGGGGGTTGTGGTTTTGGGCCTCCCTTTTCTTCTTTGCTAGGCAAAGCCTATCTAGATGGATTTGATTGTAATTTGCAAAACTATCTGTTGTTGCTCCTGTCAAGTTTTCAAATGCCCACACGTGTGGGCGTTAAGGGGTCTGACCACATGTTTTGTGTGGTGTCTAAGAGAACTAGCCCACACGTCTACGTGTGGGCAAAACAAGTAATGTCCACACTCCTCTTTTTTTGCCTCGCGGTCCCTCCAATACGCCTAAATGTGTGCAAAATAGATGACGCCCACACGCCCGTACGTCAGGCCTCCTACCTCATGGTCCCACACGCCCCATGTGACAGTCACCACGCGTCCCCGCAGTTGCCATGGTCCGGACCCTCTTTCATGTTCGTTTAACTGCAGTTGCCATGTTGTTGAAGTACAGTTGCTATGTCGGACAACTACAATTGCCATGGTTGCTCAACTGCTGTTGCCATCTCAGGTCAAGTGCCAGATGCCATTTTGGACGACTGCAGTTGTTGCCATGTGTGGTCTGGTCTATTACAGTTGCAATGATTTCAAAACTTTAGGAGTTGCCACCTATTAACACTAGACAGTTGCCATGCACACTACAAAACGACATGGAAAAAATAACATGTTCGGGTAAAGAAAGAGTTGCCATCTGCTTACAAGCACACTAGGGGCAGTTGCCATGTACCCTGCAAAATACATGATAACTGCCAGTTTTGGGTGTGGGAGAGGAGACGGACGTGTGGGCGCGGTGGTATCTTTAGGAGTTGCCATCTATTAAACACTAGGCAGTTGTCATGTAGCACTACAAAAATACATGTCAAAAATAACATGTTCGGGTAAAGAGAGAATTGCCATCTGCTTACAAGCATACTAGGGCAATTGCCATGTACCCTGCAAAACACATGACAACTGATAGCTTTGGGTGTGGGAGAGGAGACGGACGTGTGTGCAAACTGATAAACGCCCACACACCAGCCCCTTTGCGTGCGTTGAAAATTGGGGTGTGGGCGAACTGCTAAACGCCCACACACCAGCCCCTCTACATGCGTTGAAAATTAGGGTGTGGGCGAACTGCTAAACGCCCACACACCAGCACCTCCACGTGTGGAAACGGATGTGTGGGCGACTGGATAAATGCCCACACACTAGCCCAATCCTACGTGGCACACAAAATTTGTCTTCCCGTGTCAAGATTCGTGTAAAATTGAATCGACGGAGATCCAGACGTGTGGGCGAGTTGGAGAAGTGCCACACTTATGGGTGTTAGTGTTTCCGAAATAATATGCTTGTTTGCGATGTAATATGTACTTTCTTTAAGTCGTAATACAAAATACTTGTTTTCGTGATGTAATATGGATATACTTGATTCCATTGTGTGTGCATACTTAAGGATTTCGTGAATGGAACATTCTACTTTTTCTGCCACGATACGAAACATTGTACTTGTATAATCAATTTGAGTCACATGAATGTAATTTTATCAGATGCTTGGGATGATTATGGCTCATTTGTATTATTAGATTTTCGGATGACAAAGCAATCATTATACGATGTTTTTTTGTATGATGTTTTTTTTGTTGGTTCATAAGTCCAACTAGCTGAATGAGCTTTTATTATTATTATTATCATTGTGCTATCGGGTGTTGCACGAGCTTAGAGCATGGTTAATAGTATAGCCAGCTGCTGGCTATAAGCCAGTGCCATATCATCTACAGCCCATCTTATAGTCAACATGTACAATAGTAGATCAAAAGAGTGAACTACTTTTTTATTATGTGGCCCACCTTTTATTCTCACAAAGTGCCTAGGAGCACCTGCTAGAGCTAGCTCTTTACGAAGAGCCCGCTTATCTTCTCTCTCCTCTTCTCTTTCCTCCAACTAAACACAAATATATTAGTTTATTCCTTATAGCCCGCTGACTCAGCTCTATTGTACTTGCTCTTACAAGTGCAAAATAAAGTTGAGATACACCTTCCGGTGTTGTTGGCATCTCTCCGCAATTTGCAATATAATAATACCATGTAGCTAAATCAGCGAACCAGGTTTGCTACACTAATTGAACCTTTACACTGCTGGTATGCACCCACGGAAGTGCGTCAGGACGCGGCTAGTTTGCCTCTGACAAGAATGCATGCTATCGTGCGAGTCTACCAAGATGTTGTTGATACAGATCTGAATTGCTGATTAATTGGACAGGGAACAACTACGGGCGTGCTAGTGACAAACATGCACGTGAGCGCTTCATCGACAGTAGTACCATTTTACACAAGTACTATGCGTAATGAATGAGGTCATACATCACAAACTCTTCTTAGTAGAGGACTAGTTAGAAGTCACAAACTCGAGAGTAGGGTTTGTGATCTGTCAGATGCTCCCTGGTGCGAAACAACGTTGCAGACAAACGGAAACTAGTAGTACCGCACTAGGAGTACCCCTTTATTTATACTTACATACAAGTACAAAATTGCTGCATACTCGGCATCAATCGAGTCCAGGTTAGAAATTTTAGGTTTTCCTACCCTAGCCGCCGCCACCACCAGGCGATTAGGGAGGCGAGTTCTTTCCTCCAATCTCCACCGGCCGGGACGCTGGCCCTCTCTCCCTTCGGCCACTGCTACGGCGGCAGGAGGGAGGGGGACCCGTTCCTCCGCTCTGTAGTTAGATTTTAAATTTATAGGTCGTGGTGCGTCGTTGGGGTGGTGGGAGCGGCGTCCGGACGAATAAATATGCCTCAACTTCACTCCCACATCGACGGTGTCCTTCATGGCGGCATCTCGGAGTTGATGGCATCGTGTCTCTACCGATCTCTCAGATCGGCAGCGTTAGGGTTCATGGATAGTGTTGGCGAGGCGGCGGCGACGACTCCACCGGGTGTGTCTCTCCTTCTGCTCTGTCCCCGTTGTTGTAGCGTTGTCTCTGACGTCATGGTGAAGCAGAGAGGTTTTGTCTCTCAGGAGTTCGCGCGGGCAGTTGTCTACGCAAGTGACAGCTGGAAGTTGGAGTATCTTGTGCTGGGTCTATGGTCGAAGGTTGACAGTTCTGGTTTCCTCCTCCTCCGTCGTCGTCATGCGGGGGTTTCAGTTCTGAAGTTCGATGGCGTGTTCAGGGACATGTTGCGCTGGTCTGATTTTGTCAACGGCTATGATTTTGCTTATGGCAAACTACTTTGGAGGTCCGTAAAGCTGCTGATCAGCGATGGAGCCGCTTCGAGTTTTGGTGAAGAGGTGATCTGTCTTTTTTCTCTTTGTTGGCTGCTTTGGTGGCGTCGAAGGAAAGGAACATGCGCTAGTATTTTGCATAGGATTTTCCTATTTTTTTAGTTATGTATGGCCGGTGCTTACATGACTTGTAACTTGATGATTATTCTATATAAATGAGATACGTACTACCATGAAAACAAGTTAGAAATTTTAGAGACTGCTAGTATACTACTTGGTTTGTGTTTCTGAAAATGTTGTGTGCAAGTTCGATGCCTGAACCAGCAGAGTTGGCATAGCAAAAAGAAGTGTCAAAATCCGCCGCGCCGTCTTCCCATCCCATCCTATCCCATCCCTGCCGGACCGGCTACCGGGTACCTCATCGCCGATCTCGTCACGCCATCGCGCCCATCGCCTCGCCGCGACTTCTTTATATTATCATCCATAGCAGCCCTCCCCGAACCACCGCGAGGTCCACGCCGTCCAAAATCCACGCGATAAGAACCAAGCCAGCCTTGCTTTGCCGCCGTTTCGCCCTTCCGCTGCCGCACCACCTCCTTATATAATACTCCACCAAAGAGAATGGTGCCGCTCCGCTTATACCGCCACCTGATCCCGCAGCTGGCAGCTGCAGCCAGGTCGCCCTCCTGCGCTCCCCGCCCGATCTCCCGGCTGCCGGCCCTCGCAATGGCGGCCTACGGCACCGGTGCTTGCGCCGACAGCAAGCTCCTCTTCAGGCAGCTGTTCGAGAAGGAGAGCTCCACCTACACCTACCTCCTCGCCGACGTCGGCGACCCCGAGAAGCCCGCCGTGGTGAGCGCAACTCCCTGGCCTGGACTGGGTCATGTTATTAGGAGTAATTTTGGCTGGTTTGCGGGTAGATTCTTTTGAGTTGGATGTCAACTCGAGAATACAGTAGCACAAGTGTATATTGAACTGCTGTGGAATGTCGATGTTACCAACTAATTTGTCCAATTGCTCCAAATAGGCTCAAGGCAAGCATAAGTGAAAGCAAACTTAGAGGTTATCTTCCCTATACATGTCTTGAATAACACAGGAAAAAAAAATCATGCTTATAAAAAAACAGACGATATTAGCAGGATAATAAGAGCTCTTGGCTGGACCAGAAGCACTTGTGTCTTTGGAAGATGATCAGGACTCAGGAGCAACTATTGCTTCATAATTTATGGATTAGATTTTGAGCTATGCTTGTTTGCATCTTTTCAATCTCCTCCCTGACTTTTTTTTTGCGACCAGTTGATTGACCCTGTTGACAGAACAGTTGATAGAGATCTCAATCTTATCAAGGAATTAGGCTTGAAGCTCATCTACGCTATGAATACTCATGTGCATGCTGATCACGTCACTGGAACCGGACTAATAAAAGTAAGCACTTCTGAACTTCTCCAGATGTTTCATTGAATTTCTAGGAGTTTCAACATTTTTGTTCTCTTTGGTAAAACATGGTCAGCTGATGGAATGTCTGTCAGACTAAGCTGCCAGGAGCCAAGTCTGTTATTTCAAAAGCTAGTGGAGCAAAAGCCGACCATTCTGTTGAGCACGGGGACAAAATATACTTTGGGAAGCTTTTCCTTGAGGTAGATCACCATTTTAATATGCTATTTTGCTTCGTGTTCTTCTTTCATCTAGTAGTCAGTGTATGTAAATTACAGCTTCTGTATGCCGCAATATTAGCACCAGGGTCTCCAGTGTAAACAGCTAATTGGAATTACAGAAAACACCGAGTTCTTCTGTTTGATTGTCTTTAAGAAGCTCCTTCATAGGTCACCATGGTTACAAAAATCGCATCCTACATGACCTAAAAAAATAGCAAAGCTGGTCAAAAAAGTACCAAAGCAAGAAAACTAAGGGGCCAAACTAAACAAACAAGGTTGAGACCAAGATAGTGCAGCTTGATCTCGCAGGGTTTCATCTTATAGTTTTCATTGTTAACTGTGCCGTTTTTCTTATACGAGCAAGACGATCTACTGTTGTGCCTGCAGTAAAAGTTAGAAGAGCGTGCAATGTTATAGGTTGAACTTATATTAAAAGGAATTACATTTTGTCTGTAGTAGAAAATGAACAATGTATAAGTATATGGATGGTTTAGTCTGATATATGGTATGGATTTTAGCAAGTGTGTTCTTATTTAAGTGCTTTGTCATTGTATTGATTCATCAATGAAGGAATGTTTTCTATTACTATTGAAACTTTTAAGAATCTATTGCAATTGTGACATGTCCAAAGCTGTTAAAGTATAAACAAAATGTGCAATCAAGTGCTGGGAAGAGTAGCACTCAAATTATTTATGTTGTGGCTTGTCTTTCAGGAGGGCAATGTCCTCATAAGGCTAGCTGATCAAGGCTACTAGTATTGGTAGATATGACGGAATTTCTGATAGCAGAAACATTGAAATTCTTTCCAGGTGCGAGCTACTCCTGGCCATACTGCTGGCTGTGTGACTTATGTAACAGGTGATAGTCCTGATCAACCCTCACCACGGATGGCTTTCACTGGGGATGCCTTAATTATACGTGCATGCGGAAGGACAGACTTCCAGGTAATATTGTGACCACACTCACTTCTTCATGATCTGCAAAACAGGAAAACCATATCTGAAGGAAACACTTCATAAGGAGAAGTATTAATGGTGTTTTGGAGTTTCCTACTACCTCCGTTCATATAGAAATAACTAAAACCACGTCAATTATTTATGAACGGAGGGACTAGTTTTTAGGCATTGAAATTCATTGTCTGTTATGCTCCATAGTAGCGGTAGTCTGTGATTCAGACAAAGTTCTGCTTGCATGTGGATGTCTGAATTTTAGAGAAATTCTTATTGGCCACAGGCAGTTGCTTTTGTCTTGACAGTTCGTTTTTATTCCGTGTCATTCCAGGGAGGAAGCTCCGATCAGCTGTACGAATCAGTGCACTCACAGGCAAGTACATGAAAATCATGTATTGTAGTCATACAGACAAAACTGCAACAAAATACATGGATTTAATTAAATTATGCAAGAAGACTTTTATTGATCTAGCAGGCTAGCAGCCTCTGCACCAAGTGGATGCACACAGCCCAATGGATCTAACTAACTGAATACTCTATTCCCAACAGATTTTCACTTTACCGAAGGATACCCTGCTTTATCCTGCCCATGACTACAAAGGTTTCACGGTAGTGGCATACCCAGCATGTTAAATTTTGGCTACCAAGTTGCTATACGCTTGAGTTATACTATTTGCAGGTAACTACTGTCGAAGAGGAGGTTGCCTATAATGCCCGACTATCAAAAGATAAGGTGCCTGCTAATTATGCTAAAATTCCTTAAAAAGTTTACCCGATGAAAGATGTCAGTTCGTTCCTAACTATGCCTTGCATGTTCTGTTTGCAGGAAACTTTCAAGACCATCATGGAAAGTAAGTCCCTGTCTAATAGTAGTACATGGATACCTGTGTTCGTTTCCGAGAATAACCACTTACCAGATCGACCTGATCTACTCCCTAATTTCAATCGATTCTTAAACGGAAGCTGAATTGATCGTTTACCCTGTCTCTCCTTGGGCAGACCTGAACCTGTCTTGCCCAAAGATGATCGACGTCGCTGTACCCGCCAATATGGTTTGCGGTTTCCAGGATCCACCATCCAAGGTCTGAGGTGTTCCAGCTGAAGCAGCTTTGCAAGTGGCGGTCCGGGTTGTTGTGAAGCCAAGATCAGATCAAGAGGGCTTGCGGCTGCGTTGTATACATGAAATAATTTGTCTGCGTTGTACATTAAACAATTTGTTCGCTGCAATGCAACATTGGCTGATGCGGCCTCTGTCTCCGTTTGACTTTACCGTCTGATCATCATATCATATATCAACGTGAAGAAGACAGCTCCTTTATTTAGAAACAATAGAAACTCGGTGTATTGGTCGCTGCTCGTTCTCGTGTATTTATTCCCTTTATTTTTCAGACAAAAGGCTCGTTGGGCTGTAGTATCTCCTCGATGACACCACCGAAGCAGAAGGCGCATGCCCGAAAGCTTAGTGCTGTTTTTGGAACTAAGCTGAGCTGTACTGAGCTGAGAAGAACCACGTTGTCACCGATCTGAACACGCCACTACGGTCTGATTGCTTGGAAGCCAAGACGAGCAACACGTTTTTATGTGGTCGCCAAATTAAAGATTTCTCTCGAAACAAAAACCAGACACGTCATTTTTACAGATAGCTACTAACCTGTCGTGAGAAACGATTTCGCGAATAAAAACTGTGCAAGGAGTATTAATCGCTACTCGTAGGATGGCCGAATCAAATATCACCTATTCGTCGGGTTAACTTGTCAGGCCGACCAACCTACCTGTGAGACCTTCCCGCAAAAAGAAAAAAACTTGCCTGTGAGACCGATTAATAAGTTGTCAGGTCGATTAATCGTTGCAGACCTATTAACTTAGGGGCAAACGAAGCCCAAATTCTGGTCAGTAACCCCTCCCATCCCCCCTCTCGCTCCTCAATAGTTAAGGTTCGACCAAATTGTGACACATTTGGTATATTCCATAGTTGAGAGCATGAAAGTATTGTTTCTCGACTTTTTTTTCGGAAGCAAGGGGAAAAATAATGCCTAAATTCTAAACGAAAGGAAGAATTCATTCTGGTCCCAAAACTTATAAGAGATCTCGGTAGTGAATATGCAATGCTGAATTCCAATAAGTTGGTACTTCGCACAAGGAAGAAGCTCCAAAACTACAAGCAAGGGAATCAACTCTTATTGCCGTAAAGGAAAAATAACCCCTTTCCTTTACACACACACACACACACACACACACACACACACAAGGAACAAGTAGCCTTCGCCACCTATTCCTGAATTAAGGGAACGCAAGAAAGATTTCTTTATGTCAATTCAAAACAAAACAAACGGACGATTGACCCAAAAATAACAGGGGTCAAGGTCGGCCAGTGAGACGATGTCAGCGCCACTCCTACTTCCGCCTCACCCAGCGCCACCAACCGACGGGACCCACAGGGCAGCGACTCGCCTCCCTCGCCTGCGGCCCAACGACTGCCTCGGGCCAGGAAGCCCAACACTCGGGTCACGGGGCTAGAGTGGGTCCAGTGAAGCCCAACTGCTCCAGCCACTACTTATGCCCGAGCGAGCAGGAGGCAACCCATCCGGTGGATCACGAACCTGGCGGCGGCATGAACCCTAGCATCCCTACTGTTCCTCCTTCTTCCCCCAAATTCGTGTATCTGAGCTTGTAATCGAACCTGAGTGACAGCATACATTCTATAGATCGTTCCCCACTCTCACTACCCTTACATCTGGTATCAGAGGCCAGTCCATCACACTCTCCGCCGCCGATCAGGCGCAATTTGTCGAAACCAGGAGCACCAGTCAAGGCCGAGCCCTCCTGGAATCTATGGATCCGTCGATCCAGTCCTTCCTCGACCGATGGGAGTTACTCATCTCGGCTAACACCAAGGCCCAACAAGCCACGGCGGCCAAGATCAACGATCTCCTGGCTTGGCGACCGGATCTGGAGCAGCGCGTCTCCGAGCTGGGCGCGGCGGTCGCGGCGCTGCAGTCCGCGGCGTCAGCGACGCAACCGGCACGTGAGGACGCAGCGGCGGATGCGTCCCTCGCCCAACCACCGCCAGTGACACTCGGTGCTCGTCCAAGCACCGGGATCGGCGCGGCGCGCGATTCCCATGGGTCTGAGGACCGCGGCGAGTTCAACATCACACGGGGGCAACCGGTGGAGTCGTTCCAGACCCCACCGCCGCTCCCGACAAACGGTCAGTGCGATGCTCCACCCTCTCCCTCGATTCTATCGCCCTTCGCACACGCTAGCCAACTCCTGACAGGGTTGGGCCAAGCACACCCATCCATTTCCTTTCCGCAGTTCTTGGGGGAGAACCCGAACCTGTGGAAAACGCTCTGCGAGCAATACTTTCACATGTTCGCGATCGTGCCGTCATTCTGGGTGCCCATGGCAGCCCTGAATTTTTCGGGGTCAGCGGCGATTTGGTTACAGTCGATTCAGAAATGTCTTTCTGAGTACGATTGGGAAGCCTTCACCGCGTTGCTTTGCACACGTTTTGGCCGCGATCGGCACCAAACGCTGATCCGGCAATTTTATACTGTCAAGCAAACCACTTCTGTGGCTGATTACATTGAGAAGTTTGAATTGATCATTAATCACCTCAGTTCATACTCTGACTCTATTCACCCTTTTTATTTCCTCACACGCTTTGTGGAGGGGTTGCGGAAGGATATACGTGCGGTGGTCTTGGTCCAACGGCCACCGGACCTGGACACGGCGTGTGCTCTCGCCCTACTACAAGAAGAGGTTGATGATGGAGCTTGCGGCACCCTACACCGACCACCCGAGCTGGTGCCACGGGCGGGGATGGCGCTACCCCTGCCTCCCCCACCGCCTCGTCCTGTGGCCACAACAGGCGCTACTGATCGCCGCGGCACCGACGCAGCACGAGCGGACACCTCCAAGGTCAAGGCCCTCTATGATTATCGTCGCGCCCGGGGCTTGTGCTTCAAATGCGGCGAGCGATGGGGCCCTGACCATGCCTGCCCCACCTCCGTCCAGCTACACGTCATTGAAGAAATGTTGGAGCTCTTTGGCATTGACTCGTCGGATGACCAGGAAGGAGAAGTCCAGCAAGTTCATGCGATCTCGCGCCCTGCTCTCGATGGGGGCGTGTCACCCAAAGCGTTCCAGCTTTTGGCCACCATGCAGGATCAAGAGGTGCTTATGTTGGTTGATAGCGGAAGCTCCACATCCTTCATCAACCAGCGACTGGCTGATCGCTTGTCGGGTACCCAGGCATTGCGCCAGGCCTGCCGTGTCCGAGTGGCTGACGGAGGCGAGCTACTCTGTTCCGCAGCCATCCCAGCATGCCGCTGGTCGTCTCAAGGGCTGGATTTCACCACCTATATGAAGATCTTGCAGCTTGGGGTGTATGACGCCATCCTGGGGATGGATTGGTTAGAACAACACAGCCCGATGATAGTGGATTGGAGGAACAAACATCTGCGCATTCCGACTGCCCTCGGTCCAGCCAGCCTATTCGGTCATGAAGCCCCATCAACCCAGTGCCATGTGATCAACAGTGCTCAGTTGCAACAACTACACCGTCAGGGCTCTCTTCTGCATTTGTGTCTGTTATACCCCGTCAGCAAAGAACAAGGTTTTCCCCCTGCTGAACCTCGAGACCTGCAGCCATTGCTTGAAGAGTTTGCGGATGTGTTTGGTGAACCAGAAGGATTACCACCACGCCGTGCCTGCGACCACACCATTCCGCTGATGCCAGGAGCCCAACCAGTTAACATCCGACCTTACCGCCATAAACCAGACCACAAGACAGAGATCGAAAGACAGGTCCAAGAACTTCTCCAGTCTGGGGTCATTCAGCGCAGTCACAACACGTTCTCATTGCCAGCCATTTTAGTCAAGAAGAAGGATGGAACCTGGCGGATGTACGTTAACTACAGGCATCTCAACGCCATGACCCGTGTCAATAAATTTCTGGTTCCCATCATCGAGGAGTTGTTGGATGAGTTGCATGGTGCGTGCTGGTTCTCCAAACTGGACCTACGCGCCGGGTACCATCAAATACGGCTTGTGGAAGGGGAGGAATTCAAAACAGCCTTCCAAACACACTCGGGCCAATATGAGTTCAAGGTGCTCTCATTTGGGCTTGCAGGAGGACCGGGAACCTTCAATGGTGCGATGACTGATACGATGCATCCTCTCCTCGGGCATTGTGTCCTGCTATTTTTCGATGATATCCTTGTCTTCAGCAAAACGTGGGAGGACCACTTGAGACACATGCGACAAGTCCTGGAGTTGTTGCGGTGAGACCAATGGAAGGTTAAGCGAGCCAAGTGTGAATTTGGACAACAACAGCTGTCCTACTTGGGCCATGTCATTAGCAGCAACGGAGTGGCCACGGAGCCAAGCAAGATCAAAGCAGTCGAGGAGTGGCCTACGCCTACTGATGCCAAGGAAGTACGCCGCTTCTTGGGACTCGCAGGGTACTACCGTAGGTTTGTCCGGGGATTCGGGATCATAGCCCGTCCCCTATTTAATCTCCTGAAGAATGGTGTCCCATTCGTCTGGACGGACAACACCAATCAGGCATTCTGCTTGCTGAAACAACAAATGATGACGGCGCCGGTCCTGGCACTTCCAGACTTCACCAAAACCTTCACAATCGAGACAGACGCGTGTGACAAGGGCATAGGGGCAGTGTTACAGCAGGAAGGGCATCCTATAGCCTTCATGAGCAAGAGCCTGAGCCCGCGCTATCAAGGCCTGTCGACTTATGAGAAGGAGTATCTCGCCATTGTGGTGGCCATTGATCAGTGGAGACCCTACCTGCAACACAGCGAATTCGTCATATACACGGATCAGAAGAGTCTAGTGCACCTCGAAGAACAGCGTTTGACAACTCCTTGCAACAGCGGGCATTTACCAAGTTACTCGGCTTACGGTACATCATCCGTTACAAGAAAGGATCGGATAACACTGCCGCGGACGCATTGTCGCGGTCACAAACCTCGGAGCTGCTGTTCAATATCACATCGTGTCAACCCAGCTGGCTCGAAGATGTGGTAGCCAGTTACAACTGTAATCCTCAAGCCCAGAAGTTGCTCCAGCAACTTGCTCTCCGTGAAGACCCCAAACAGCGGTTCACGCTACGGGACGGGATTCTGCATTTCAGGGACCGAATTTGGTTGGGAGGCTCCACTGCCATGCAATAGAAGATAATGTCAGCCTTCCACGACAGCCCCGTAGGAGGCCACAGTGGATTTCCAGCTACCTTTCGTCGCATCCGCCGGTTGTTTGCATGGTCGAAGATGCGGGCGCACGTCTTACAATACGTGCGATGCTGCTCGGTGTGCCAGCAGGCCAAACCAGACCGGGCAGCCTCCCCGGGGCTGCTAGTTCCTCTACCGATACCACAACAGCCTTGGGAGATGATCACTATGGATTTCATTGATGGGTTACCGCAATCTGGGAAATTCAATTGCCTTTGGGTGGTAGTGGATAAAAGGACCAAATTTGCTCACTTCCTACCTCTGGCGCACCCGTATACAGCATCTAAAGTGGCTCTCCTCTACATGTCCAGCATCTATCGTATCCATGGATTTCCCAAGTCGATTGTGTCGGACAGAGATCCTGTGTTCACCAGCCACTTTTGGCGAGAACTGTTCAAGTATGCTGGCACAGATCTGCGTATGAGCTCAGCCAACCACCCACAGACCGACGGGCAAACAGAAAGGGTGAACCAGTGTGTCGAAACCTACTTGCGATGCTTCGTCCAGGCCTGCCCGAGCCGTTGGAGCCACTGGATCCCACTGGCACAATTCCGGTACAACTCATCCCATCACTCCAGCATTGGCATGTCGCCATTCAAGGCGATGTTTGGCTATGAGCCCCGACAGTGGGGCATCCAATCTGCATCTGAGTGTACGGTGCCGGCTTTGCACTCGTGGTTGGAGGAACGTGCGGTGGTGCAAGACCTCCTTCAACAACACCTCAACCGTGCTAGGCAACGCATGAAGGACCATGCTGACAAGCGCCGGTCGCCACGGGTGTTCCAGGTGGGTGATTCAGTGTTCCTCAAGCTCCAGCCGTACATCCAGACATCGGTAGCACGGCGCGCAAATCACAAGTTGTCGTTCAGATACTACGGACCGTTCCAAGTCATCGCCAAGGTCAACGAAGCAGCTTACAAGTTGGAGCTGCCAGCGCACTCCCAAGTGCATCCTGTCTTCCATGTCTCCCAGCTCCGGCAATGCCTGCGTCCGGGTACGCACGCATCTCCCCACCTTCCACAAGCTACTAACATTCCAGTCATGCCACTTGCAGTGCTTCAATAGCGTTGGCGACGAAAGAATGGCGCCCTGGTCGAACAAGTGCTGGTACGCTGGTCGGATCAAGCAGTCTTGGCGGACACCTGGGAAGATAAGGTGGCGCTACAAGCTCGTTTTCCTGGAGCTGAGGCAAGCCTCGTCCCAAGGAGGAGGGGATGTCAGCGCCACTCCTACTTCCGCCTCACCCAGCGCCACCAACCGACGGGACCCACATGGCAGCGACTCGCCTCCCTCGCCTGCGGCCCAGCGACTGCCTCGGGCCAGGAAGCCCAACACTCGGGTCACGGGGCCAGAGTGGGTCCAGCGAAGCCCAACTGCTCCAGCCACTACTTATGCCCGAGCGAGCAGGAGGCAACCCATCCGGTGGATCACGAACCTGGCGGCGGCACGAACCCTAGCATCCCTACTGTTCCTCCTTTTTCCCCAAATTCGTGTATCTGAGCTTGTAATCGAACCTGAGTGACAGCATACATTCTATAGATCGTTCCCCACTCTCACTACCCTTACAGACGATGGGGGATAAGCTTCATCGTCGAGAAGGAAACAACCCGGATCACCAGCTAGCGACTGACGGATAAGCCAACGTTAATAGCTGGTCTAATTCTGCGATAATACCTAAAAATTATATATATGTTGGGAGGTTTCTATTTAATTTTTTAATTAATGATCGACCGATTAATCCAGTTAATAGGCCGATTGACGCGTTACCGATTTCCTTAACAATCTTGTACCACAGTGCATGATACAAATTCTGATTTGGTTTGACAACGAACTTACAGGCTGTGCGTTAACAAAGCGAGCTAAATGCACCAAGGCGACTAGTTGTCTTCATCCCGGAACTCCCCTTCATCCCTCCCGCGTCTCGATTCCCCAGCCTGAGCAAACCCTCCCCACAGCCCGCGCCATGGGCGGCGAGATGCCCGGCACCGACGGCAAGGGCCACCCCGCCCCGGCCTCCGCCTCCGCCTCCGGATTCCCGCCGTCGGCGCCGCCTTATCATCAGCAGCAGCACCACCAGTACGGCACCTTCGGGGCCCCGTCCGCGTCCGGCGAGTTCCCGCAGCCGGCGGTCGGGTTCCCCCAGCCTGCTCCGCCGCTTGGGTTCCAGAACTACCCGCCGCCGCCTCCGCCGCCGTCCTACGCGGTATACCCTCCTCTGCAGGCTTATTCGGCCGCCGCGCCGTACTACGCCCATGGCTACCAGGACGTGCAAGGTACGGTTGAAACCCCTGTCACGCGATCCGATCATGTGCTTCTCTGCTGATGCGTATCATGTTCATGGGAATGATCCGGATTAGCCGTGCTGCCTTTTGTTGTTGCTGGAGAATTTCTCCCGTGTTGTTCATCTAGTGCAAGTTGCAAGCCCTTGAGAAATCAGGAGTAGAACAAGACCTGTTTTGCCTATTCCCTATTGTCTGAACCGGAGAGTGGAACTGGAATGAAATCGGAAAAGTGGTATACCGAGTTTTATCTCACATAGATCATCCGTTATTAGTTTTTCGGAAATTTTAACGCCCACACGTGTGGGCGTTTGCATCTCGCCCACACGCGTGGATCCACGTCCGTTCGTGAGCGCACGAATCTTGGCATGTTTCTAGTGCTACGTAGGACTGGCCTGGTGTGTGGGCGTTCACCCGGTCGCCCACACGGCCGTTTCACCACACAGAAGGGGCTGGTGTGTGGGCGTTCAGCAGTTCGCCCACACGCCACTTTGCACGCACACACAAGGGCTACTGTGTGGGCATTTGCCATCTTGCCCACACGCCCGTCTCCTCTCCCACACCCATGCTGCTAGTTGCCATGTGTTTTGCAGTGCACATGGCAACCGCCCCTAGTGTGCTTTATAAGCAGGTGGCAACTCTCTTTTTTACCCGAGTTGCCATGTGTTTTGTAGGGTACACGCAACTGCCTAGTGTGCACGTGCGCAGATGGCAACTCTCTTTTACCGAGTTGCCATGTGTTTTTGCATGGTACATGGCAACTGCCCTAACGTGCACGTACATGACAACTGCCCTAACGTGTACGTAAGCAGATGGCAACTCTTCCTTTTTACATGGCAACTGCCCTAGCATGCTTGTGAGCACATGGCAACTTTCTCAACTGCCTAGTGTTAGTATGTGGCAACTCCTAAAGTTATGAAATCATGGCAACTACATTAGATTAGACCATACATGGCAACTGCAGTTGAGCAACCATGGCAACTGCAGTTGTCCGACATGGCAACCGTAGTTCAGCGACATGGCAAATGCAGTTAAACGAACATGGACGAGGGTCTGGACCATGGCAACTGCGGGCGAGCGGTGACCGTCACGCGTGGCGTGCGGGACCAGGAGGTACGAGGCCTGACATACGGGCGTGTGGGCGTTATCAACTTCGCCCACACGCACGCGTGTGAGAGGGATCGGGAGGGAAAAAAGAGGTGTGTGGGCATTACTTGTTTTGCCCACACATAGGTGTGTGGGCTGTTTCTCTTAGACACCACACAAAATGTGTGGGCGGACTCCCTAACGCCCACACGTGTGGCACTTATCGGCTAAAAAGCACCGATACGGCCAGAACTGCCGATTTGCCGTCCTGATACGGGGGGACACGGGGATACGCCCAGATACGGCTGGATACGCGTATCCCGCAGTATCCCATCTTTTTGGAATTAAAAAAAAAGAAATAAAATCGGGATACGGCCTAGATACGGCGTGGACACGGTGGGGACTCGGCAGCCAGACTCCAGTGACCATGCTGCTGCCCAGTTATCCTCCCGATAGCAACCATGGTCAAGCAGGTAACCTCAATGGCTGCTAGCAAGGAAGGAGATCTTGGTAGAGAAAGATGGCAAGGCGGCCGCCAACAAGGAAGAAGCTCCGGCAGGAAGAAAGATGGGGAGTGTGGTGGCCAGCGAGGAAGAAGATGGGTGATGGAAGCTGCCGATTTGGCGGCGCTGTCGTTTCCTTTCTTCACTGGCGGCTGGAGAAAGGGAGTACGAGAATGGGAGGTTGGGGTCGGCTGGAGCAGCTGGAGTGCTACTAGTCTAGGGTTTTCTGGAATTGGGCCTTACATGGGCTCTAAGTGGATGGACAGCTACATGGGCTCTAAGTGGACGGACAGCTACATGGGCTGTGAGTGGACTGCTCTCAGTCTTTCATGAATAGAAAGGAGACAATATATATCCAGTACTAAAAAATTCTCATTAGATCTTAATTCAAATTTATTTTTCTATATACTTTCATATTTATTTTTCTAAATACTTATATACCCCGCTGTATCCCCGAATGGCTGTTTTTGGAAAATGCCGTATCCCGTATCCCCGTATGCGTATCCCCGTGCTTCCGTCCCCGTATCCGTGCTTCTTAGCTTATCGGCGTCCTTTTTCGGAAATGTTAAGATTGGCAGGAGCGCTCAGCGCTGTATATTCTAGTAGGAGTGGAATAAACACATCGGAAGGTTGTTTTCCAAGGGGAACAAAACCTAAATAAACACCATTTTTCACATGCCGACAAGTTCCAGAGCACTCTGCAGTCCGCACTAACGGCCTGCTGGTTAATGCCCCCTAAAGCTAGCTAGGTATGCCGCCTCTCGGTGGTTTAATCTAGAAGTGTTGAAAATAAATCTCCTATTTCGCTCCTTAGTCCTTCCAGACCTAGATCATTCTGTTCACACAGGGTTTTAAATGCTCAATGCCGCCTAAGATCTGGGGGATGCATTGTAAAACAAATATTGTGTTAGGAGTTTCTTACTCCTCAGATACTAGAATCTAGGGTTCTCCTCTTATGCGGTAACCAGGCATATACTTTCCTCGGTGTCTCCCCTCATACCCAAATTCTAGGCTCCATGTGCCATTTTGTTCCAGTTAATGACTCTCAACATAAATGGATCTTAATGTCACTTTGGAAAGTCACTACTCACTCCAGAGGTTACTTGTTTGCTAGTGTGTGAGACACACGGTGCTTAAGATTGTGTAATTTTTTTAGGGATCCAGTCTTTCAACCATCACTACTTTCCTAAATTGCAGCTAATGATATTAGCCATGTTTTCGAAGAAGCTTTGGAGGCTAATAGAGAAAAGCGGATTATGTAGGCTTTTGTAATCCAATGTCCTGAAGACTTAGTTAGATGAAAACAATTGACATACAAAAACATACAAATAGATCAACTAAGAAAATAGTTGAGCAATAAACGGGCTTCTGTATATCAAAGTGAAGTTTATGAAGGAACCTGATGGACATAATTTTGCAGAGCAGTACAATTAAGAATGTCATGAAAGCCTCAAATCCATATATGCAGTTTCCTTCAAGGAAGAAATGAAACGAACAAAATTGAATTTGAACTTTGTCCTAACTTAGCCTATGCATTGTACCATGTTGCTGTTTCTTAGGTTATATACCTGTTGTTGAAGGAAGACCTGTGAGGATGCGACGTCTTCCATGCTGTGGCCTTGGCATGGGTTGGTTTCTGTAAGTTCTCTCTGAACATTAATTGTTTTACATTGCATCTCAGAAACTTGGATTGGACCCTGAGAAACTGCTGCTTCTACTGTTTGGAAAAGGTTCATTATTGGCTTCTTCTTTGCTGCCATTCCGTGGTATGTTGGAGCTTTTGTTCTGATCTGCGTCCGAGTACATGACTACAGGGAGAAACCAGGATATGTTGCTTGTACTATTGCTGTAAGTCCTTTCTATCAGTGTGATCATCTGCAGTTTCCTAGTTACTGCCAGTTACATCTACGTGCTTTCCAGTTTACCTTCTGCATGGCTGGTGAACAACTTATCATGTTTATTTTTATTCTGAGACTTCAAACTGTAGCAACAAATACAATAGCAGAATCCTGTTGCTTTAACTGTAGCAAATATGATGGATGGCATTACCTTTGAATATGGGAATCCAAATCAAATACTAAATGCAGCTACTTAGTTGTGGGTTTTTCAATAGGGAAATGTCCTGAGTGAAAGAAGGATTTTGACATTGATTATAGTTTGGCAGCAAATTAATGATAGGCTTTAATTATCCACCCAGAATTTATATTGCTGCTCGACTAACAGTTATCGTACGAACGTTCATGCTCATATTTAGGCAGTCGCTACACAGAAATGATAAAGGAATAGTTTATCCTGCAAGATACATATATCACTACACATAAATGATGAAGGAATTGTTGATCCTGTAACATATACTCCCTCACTAGCGTCAAAAAACGTCTTACATTATGGGACGGAGGGAGTAGTAGTCATGGGAGTGTAATACCCAAGCCCTAGGGTAGCGATGGAGAATTGGGGATCCGGAGAAAGGGGAGCAACTTGGAGAAGAAGCAGGAAGGTAGGAGAAGCAATTGTTTCTATTCTTAATCGATACCCAGTACAGAGGAGAGACGCAGCTTATATGATCGCTCGCTTACATGGGCCTGGGCCGTAGCGGTCAGCCCAACATACTCACACTCTGCCCACACGCACACTATAGCCTACCTGAAGCATGCCGTGTACTGTAGCCAATCGGGTCTGCTGCAGTTAATCGCCTGGCAGCTCACTCGCGCTGACAGTACCCCCGCCTGAAGAAACAGCTTGTCCCCAAGCTGGAGCCAGTGGAAATCGCTGCCTCACTGTGTCATAGTCCTCCCAAGTGGCCGAAGAAGCGGGAAGACCAGTCCAACGAATGAGTACCTGAGCTAGAGAAGCATTACCTTTCTTAACCAAACGCCTGTCCAGAATTTCTTCAGGCACCAAATCGGCTCGATCAAGTAGTGGTGGTTCAGGAAGAGTACTGTACACTGGAGTATGATCTGGCACATGAGGTTTCAGTTGAGATGTGTGGAACACTGGATGCACTAGGCTGCCTGAAGGGAGGAGCAGGATGTGTGGCTTGCAAGGGTTGAGGTAACTGCCCCAAATTTGGTTCATGGCCATAAACAGCTTTGAAAGGAGTGCAGCCCAGAGACGAGTGGTAAGATGAATTGTACCAGAATTCGTCAAGGGGGAGCCACTGAGACCATTGCTGTGGGTGTTCAGAAACAGCACATCTCAAATACATCTCTAAACACTGGTTAACCCTCTCGGTTTGCCCATCAGTTTGGGGGTGGTAGGCAGTGGACATTTGTAGTTTGGTGCCCCACAACCTGAACAGCTCTTTCCAGAAGTGACTTGTAAATATTTTGTCTCTGTCAGAAGTAATTGTATAGGGCATGCCATGCAACTTAACAATGTGGAGCAGAAATGTTTGTGCTATCTGAGCAGCAGTGAAGGGGTGTTTGAGAGCAATGAAATGGCTATATTTTGTATACCTGTCCACAACTACCAGGATCACTGAATATCCAGATGATTTGGGTAATCCTTCGATGAAGTCCATGGATATATCTTCCCAGGGTCCTTTGGGAATAGGCAATGGACAAAGCAAACCAGGATACTTGCAATGTTCATGTTTGGCTTGTTGGCAAACCTGGCACTGTTGCACAAAATTTGCCACTGCTTCCTTTAAGCCATACCAGTGGAATAATTTCTTCACTCTCTCATAAGTGGCCTGACTGCCAGAGTGGCCTCCCACAGGAGAAGAGTGGAGTGCTTCAATGATTTTTGTTTGCAAACCTGCATTGGCCCCAACCCAAATTCTGCCCTGGTGTTTGAGCAGACCCTTTTCCAAAGAAAACTCAGGTTCTTCATCATGGTTGACCACCAGTTTCTGTAGGAGGTGTTGAGCCTTGCAATCAATCTCATAAGAGTTAAGTATTTCCTGGATCCAGACAGGCTGTCCTGAGGAGACTGCAGGTAAGGCAAACACATGGCCCACTCTAGATAGAGCATCAGCGGCCTTGTTGTCCTCGCCTTTTTTGTACTGGAACTGGAATTGGAGCCCGATTAGTTTTGTCATAGCCTTTTTCTGTAGCTCTGAAGTAAGGGCTTGGTTTTCCAAGTGACATAAGCTCTTGTGGTCGGTTTTGATCACGAACGGCCCCCTGCAAACGTAGCATCTCCACCTCTCAATGGCCATGATAATAGCTAGAAATTCTTTCTCATAAATGCTCAATTTCTGATTGGTTGGCCCTAGAGACTTGCTGTAGTAAGCCACAGGGTGTCCTTCCTGTGTAAGAACTGCTCCAATACCGGAGTCACAAGCATCTGTTTCTATACAGAAAGGTTTGTTGAAATCAGGTAATACCAAGACTGGAGTAGAAGTCATAGCCTGCTTGAGAAGGTCAAAGGCAGTTTGTGCTTCAGCCATCCATTGAAAGGCCTTCTTCTTCAGTAAGTTGGTAAGTGGTTTGGCAATAATCCCATAATGTTGCACAAACTTCCTATAGTAACCAGTGAGTCCAAGAAATCCTCTGAGCTCAGTGACTGTAGTAGGAACTGGCCAGTTGACCATAGCAGTTGTCTTGCTTGGATCAGTGGCCACACCTTCGTCAGAAATAATATGGCCTAAATACTCTAACCGCCGCTGGGCAAAAGAACATTTACTGAGTTTGACATAGAGTTGATGTTCTCTCAAAATTTGAAAAACCTGTTGTAAATGTTTCTTATGATCTTCCAAATTTCTGCTGAAGACCAATATGTCATCCATGAAAACCAAAACAAATTTCCTTGTTAATCCACCAAATATGAAATTCATAATGCACTGAAAAGTTGCCGGTGCTTCTGATAGACCAAATGGCATGACCCTAAATTGAAACTGTCCAAAATGGGTCTTGAAAGCAGTCTTATGCTCATCAGCCTCTACCATTCTGATTTGATGATATCCTGCCTTGAGGTCTAGTTTGGTGAACCATTTGGTACCCGCAAGCTCATCCAACAGCTCATCCACAACTGACATAGGAAACTTGTTCTTAACCGTCACTGCATTTAACCTTCTATAGTCCACACAGAATCGCCAACTTCCATCCTTCTTTTTCACTAACAGAACTGGGGAAGCAAACGGGGACACGCTGGGAGAGATAATTCCTGCTGCTAGCATTTCAGAGACTTGTCTTTCTATCTCATCCTTCTGAAGGGGAGAGTACCTGTAAGGCCTAACATTCACCGGCGTAGTGTTGGGCAGCAGAGAAATAGCATGGTCAAATTCTCTATGGGGTGGTAATCCTTTGGGCTCCTGGAATATATCAGCAAAAGAGTTTATGGTGTCCTGAATACAGTCTGGAGTTGGAGATACGGATGGCATTGTTTGGGCAGATAGCACTGCAGTGGCCCAAATATCATTCCCTTTGTGACTCTTCACCACTTGATCCAGTGTCAACTCTTGCAGTTGAGTTACTGGTTGTATCTTCAGACCTTGCAGTGTGACTGTAGTAGCTTTGTCTTGGAACTGGATCCATTGTTCCTCCCAGTGGCATGTCATTGGACTCCATTGTGAGAGCCAATCCATCCCAAGTATGGCATCATAGCCCCCCAATGACAGAACTCTCATATCTGTGGAGAAGGTATGCCCCTGTGTCCACCAACTCAGTCCCTGCACCATGTGGGTGCACTGCAATTTCTCCCCATTTGCAACTTTCACAGTCATAGGCTGAGGTAAGGGTACTGTTGGACATTTCAATTTGTCTGCCAACTGTTGATCCAGAAAAGTATGAGAGCTGCCTGAGTCAACTAACAGTAGCATCACCTGATTTCCTACCAGAGCTCTAATCTGAATGGTTTTAGTGTTTGTGGTTCCTGCTAGGGCATTGACTGAAAGATATGCAGCAGCTTCCTCAATCGCCTCCTCTGTAGCTATTGCGTCCAAGACTGCGTCAGTCAACTGAGCGGCCTCTTCAGCCATGTTCAGGGCCTTGATCTGGGCCACCTGTTTGCTAGCACACACATGACCTGGTGCGAACTTGTCGCCACAACTGTAACAGAGTCCATTCTGTCGCCGGTAGTCCTTCAGCTGGCGTGCCTTCCACATATCTCCGGCAGCTAGCTGAGGTCGTTGAGTGTGCTCTAGGCGTGGTTGTTGTTTAGTGTACACTGCAGACCGAGCCAGCTTGTTGTTCCCTTGTTTGGCCCGATCGAGCAAAGCTTCCTGCACCAGAGCATATTCACAAGCACTAGTCACGGTACTGGGCAATTGCATTTCGACCGCAGCTCTCAGTTCCTCCTTCAGTCCCAGCACAAACTGTGTAACCAACATTGTTTCACTGAGATTGCCCTCATACATGCGAACTTGGTACACAATCTGATGGAATGCAGTACGGTATTCCTGAACCGTGCCGTGCTGACGCAACATCAGCAAGTCTCTCATGCAAGTTCTGTGTACATTGACCTCAAACTCCTGCGTAATTGCTGTACAAAAATTTTCCCAAGTACTGCAGTATTCTGTCAGTTTATATGACTGAAACCAGTGAGTGGCATTGCCTTGCAAGCGCAGAGATGCGGACATTAGCTTGAAGGATTCAGGAATCTGATATAGCAGGAAATAAGCTTCACAATTGTCCAACCATATGCGTACATTCTCGCCGTCAAACTTAGGGAACTCCATCTTAGGCATCCAGGGTCGCTTGCTACTCTGTTCATCCAGACCCGGCGATGCGGAAGGTACCTGCGGAGGTGCTGATGGGCGAGGTCGCAAAGGCGGAGGTGGTGGTTGTGGTGGCGGCTGTGCCCGTGATGTAGCCGGCGCCCCAAAATTTTCTCCCGCCTGCGGCGACGCTCCCAGACAGCCCTCTGCCGCGATCCGGTCCAACTGTGCATTTCTGACGCTGGTGGATTCCTTCAGCACTCGCGCCACCTGAACTTGCTCTTGGTGGATCTCTCCGATTGAACTCACAGACAGATTTACCTTGGCCTGTACCTGATCCAGCCGCGAGACTTGCTCTTCAAACTTCACATCCAGCCCGTCGAGGCGCGCCTGGATCGCCTCGATCCCTTCCACCTTGGACTGAAGCAGCCGCAGCGCCTCGAATTCCTTCATCACCCGTTCCTCGAACGACCCCATGGATTCAGCCAGGTACCTTGTCTGTGCGCTCGGCTTGAACGGAGCCGTCGCCGCTTCCTCTGAGTTCGACCGAACGCTGGTCTCGGATTTACAGTCGACCGCACGAAGCAGTCAACCTACCAATCAGTCGATGTTACCGGCGAACCTCGAGTGTGTGAAGCGCGGATCGGACCGACGAAGCTCTGAATACCAATTGTAATACCCAAGCCCTAGGGTAGCGATGGAGAATTGGGGATCCGGAGAAAGGGGAGCAACTTGGAGAAGAAGCAGGAAGGTAGGAGAAGCAATTGTTTCTATTCTTAATCGATACCCAGTACAGAGGAGAGACGCAGCTTATATGATCGCTCGCTTACATGGGCCTGGGCCGTAGCGGTCAGCCCAACATACTCACACTCTGCCCACACGCACACTATAGCCTACCTGAAGCATGCCGTGTACTGTAGCCAATCGGGTCTGCTGCAGTTAATCGCCTGGCAGCTCACTCGCGCTGACAGGGAGGAACTTGGAGTAACTGTGATTGAACTTTTTGGTGCCACATGCAGGCTTCACTTGCTGCAATTGCCATGTTGCTTGGTGCCACAAAAGGAGCAGAGGTGTGGTGAGCTGGCTTTGATCATCGTCGGTTTGCTTATAATACATATGTTCGTTCTCCCTCTACTCTGTCGGGTATTCTGATTTGTACATGTATGCGTAGAAAAGATATAATGGAAGAAGACTGGTTCACTATCATATGTGTTGTATGACCTATAATCGTAGAATGATAGTATTTGTCTTCCGGTAAAAAAAGTGTGCCTGTTGCTCTCGCGACTAGTATTGTGTTGATTTTGGTTGTTTTCATACACCCTGTATTGGTGGGTTTACAAGGACGGCCGTCGCTAGTTGAGTATACTGGGCATTCCATTCCATATTGTTCGCAAGCTCAGTAAATAAGGAAAGTGAAAAACGGAAAACCGCGTGCTGCTGACATGGACAAGCACATCTGCGTAGCCCAAACGCCCAGATATGGAAACCTAGGGGGCTGGGATCCGGGTAACAGACACGAACTCGGTCGCACGCGTCACCGTAATGATTACTCGCAACTCGAGTCTAATTCAGAATCCGAGCAGCAGGCGTGATCGCCCGTAGGTGGATACAGTATATATGTGTGACGAGCGACCGTCCGTCGATTCCAACCCGTCCGCTCACAAGCGATTCCATCACCCTCGACTCCACGCGCGCTCTCCCGGCGAGCAACTCCGTCACCTGCCATGGTTGCCTACGCCCGCCGCTCCAGGGCGCCGGGGCGCCCGCACTTCGCCCTCGACGCCCACCCTTGCGAGCAAGAGCTCATCGCGGCGTACCTTGGCCCGCGAGTCACCGAGGGCGACATGTCGTGCAAGTTCATCCACGAAGGCGACGTCTACGCCGCCCACCCTGAGGACCTCACGCAGCAGTACGCCGCGGCCGTCGCCAGCAACGGCGACGAGGCGTGGTACTTCTTCACCGCCGTGCGGGCCAAAGGCGGCGGCCGCAGGGGGCGCACGGTGGACTCCCAGGAGGGGTGCTGGCACTCCGAGGCCGGCTCCAAGCCCGAGGTCTCGGCGCACCACCACGGCGGAGGCCTCCTGGGGCATCGCCAGAACTTCTCGTTCGTCACCAAGGAGGACGGCGTGCGGGTCCGCTCAGGGTGGCTCATGGTGGAGCTCGGCCTGCACGGCGACGGCCAGGACGAGGTCACCCTCTGCAAGGTCTACTTCAGCCCGCGCGCCGCCAAGAACAACAAGAAACCCGCCGCGTCGTCGTCCGCGCGCAAGAGGAAGGCCGACGCCGGCAGCCCTGCCCCGGCGCGCCAATGCCGCCGCCGCCGTGAAATGAACCAGGATGATCATCCGGTGGAGAAACAAGCCGTGAAGGCCGGCAAACAAGAGGGGTTTGTCGAGGAGAGCTCGGCGGACGAGCCCGAGGTTGTGGATCCGAATGACTTCTTTTGGTGGGTGCGGAACAAGGAGAAGCTGAGGCTGGCATTGGGCATCAGCGAGGAAGACTTCTACCGGCCCCCATCTGCGGCTGCCTTGGAAAGAAGTTTCGGGCCGGACTGGCCGCCGGCTGCACCACCTTCCAGCCCCGTCGTTCCCAACGAGGACAAGCCCGTGGTCATGTGGTTGACGTACGAGGAACTGCACGGTCTGCCGGAGGTCAGAGAGTTCTTGTCGCCCACCAAGTTGCTGGAGGAGATGAGATCGTCTGTCAAGCAACACGAGTAGATCGATTGATGACTAGTAGCTGCTAGAAAGATGTTTTCGCTTACTCTTTGAGTTGAGGTGGATGTCCTTGTTATTGTCCTAATTAATTCGACGTATACTTAGAGTGCCACTCAGATCCCTGTGTCTAAGCAGCCGTTTGGCGCAACACCTGTTTTTACTGAATGGCGATGAAAATCGTTATATCTTGCATTTTAAGTACATTTGGATGGTATATTTTTTTATCGAAACAAATTTTCATCCCGCTTTATATGCAAAGCCACACGACCAAACGATAAGAGGTGTTCAAAGAAGAGTGTTTTTCAACTCCGGGTGTCCCTACACCCTATACAAACAGTAAATTTATAAAAAAATGGAAAATAAAAATCTTTAATTTCGTGGCATCAAATATGCTCAAACTTTGTAGGTACTTGCGAGATTTCATGACAAATTTCACAAAAAAAGAGATTTCATGACAAAAAGCATTCTATGATGTCTACACAAGAAAAAGATTTCAGTGTTTAAAGTTCTTTTTGTTTTCCATGTGTAGAGCTCATATGATCATATTTCTCGGCGAAAATTTGCAAGCACCTAATCTTTTGAGCTAGTTTGATGTCACAAAATGTCATTTTTCTTATGAATTTGTTGTTCATGAGGGTGTAGGAACACCCAGGAGCTACCACACATTTCTCTTAAAAGAATCCTCATGCAAGCTGATCAAAGAAAACTATAGTAGACAAGCTAAGCACCGTCAAAAACCACGACGGGTGCCCTACTGAACATCGATAACTTGCTGCCCAGAAGAAGCACAGGAGTGGCCGAACCACCATGATACCACCAAGGCCACTCACGACATATGAATATGCACCACCTCGAAGAAAGCAATGGACTTCATCGCAACATCCCCACCAGACCATGGCCAGATAGGGTCCTTTGCCCTCTCATGTCGGACCGTGGAGCATCGACCTGGTCGGCAAGACTGGAGGATGCCATCACCTGTAAGAGAGAGGGGCAAACGTAGGCACAAGACGCCAGAGCCGAGGTGGCAATGGGTGGAGCTCCAAGCCAGCCCAAAGAACGTCGCTGCAACCAGATAAAACTTGCAATCATTGATGATGACGCCCCAAGAGGAACACGCGCCACCTCGAAGAAAGCAATGGACTTTACCGCAACATCCCCACCAGATTGTGTCCAGATATGGCTCTCTGCCCTCTCGTTTCGACCATGGAGCGTCGACCTTGTTGGCAAGAGTGGAGGATGCGATCACATGTAAAAGGGAGGGGTAAACGTAGCCACAAGACGGCGGAGCCGAGGTGACATTGAGTGACGCTCCAAGCCAGCCCAAAGAATGTCGTCGTAGCCAGATAAAACTTGCACTTTGATGTCTACTACACAACTTATTCTTGTAGACTCTTGTTGGGCCTCCAAGCATAGAGTTTTGTAGGACAATAACAATTTTCCCTCAAGTGGGTGACCTAATGTTTATCAATCCGTGGGAGGCATCGGATGAAGATGGTCTCTCTCAAACAACCCTGCAACCAAATACAAGAAATCTCCTGTGTCCCCAACACACCTAATACAATGGAAAATTGTATATGTGCATTAGTTCGGCGAAGAGATGGTGACACACGTGTAGTATGGATAGTAGATATAGGTTTTTGTAATATGAAAATATAAAAACAGCAAGGTAGCAAGTGATAAAAAGAAGCACAAAAGGTATTGCAATGCTTGAAAACAAGGCCTAGGATCATACTTTCACTAGTGCAATTTCTCAACAGTGCTAACATAATTAAATCATATAACAATTTCTCAACGTGCGACAAAGAATCACTCCAAAGTTTCTATCGGAGAACGTAGGACAAAAACATGTATCAACCCCTATGCATAGATTACCCCAATATCACCATGGGAATCCGCAAGTTAAATATCAAAACATACATCAAGTAACTCAATAGAATACCCCATTGTCACCATGGGTATCCACGTGCAAGACATACATCAAGTGATCTCAAATCCAATATTCAACCCAACATAACAAAACCTCTGAGAGCAAGACTCAATTAATCACAACAAGATAGAGAGAGAGAGAGAGGGAAAACACCATATGATCCAACTATATTAACAAAGATTGTGATACATCAAGATCATGCCAAATCAAGAACACGAGAGAGAGAGAGAGAGAGAGAGAGAGAGAGAGAGAGAGATTAAAAACATAGCTACCGGTACATACCCTCAGCCTCATGGGTGAACTACTCCCTCCTTGTCATGGAGACCGCCGGATGATGAAGATGACCTCTGGTGATGATTTTCCCCACCGACAAGGTGACGGAAAAGGGCTCCAGATGGGATCTCTTTCGTATAGAGGTGATACGTCTCCAACGTATCTATAATTTATGATTGTTCCATGCTATTATATTATCTGTTTTGGATATTTTATATGCATTAATATGCTATTTTATATTATTTTTGGGACTAACCTATTAACCTAGAGCCCAGTGTCAGTTCCTGTTTTTTTTCTTGTTTTTGTGTTTCGCAGAAAAGGAATACCAAACGGAATGAAACCTCTGCGATGATTTTTCTTGGACTAGAAGACAACCAGGAGACTTGGAGATGAAGTCAGAGGATCCACGAGGCGGGCACAAGGACGGTGGGCATACCCAGGGGGGTAGGGCGCACCCTCACCCTTGTGGGCCCCTTATGACCTTCCTAACCTAATTCTTTCTCCCATATATCCCCAAACCACCAGAAGCATCCACGAAAACATTTCCACCGCCGCAACCTTCTATACCCGTGAGATCCCATCTAGGGACCTTTTTCGGCACCCTACCGGAGGGGGGTTCGATCACAGAGTGCCTCTACATCAACTCTATTGCCCTTCCGATGAAGCGTGAGTAGTTTACCACAAACCTATGGGTCCATAGCTAGTAGCTAGATGGCCTCTTCTCTCTCTCTCTTTGATTCTCAATACCATGTTCTCCTCGATGCTCTTGGAGTTATATTTGATGTAACACTTTTTTGCGGTGTGTTTGCCGAGATCCGATGAATTGTGGATTTATGATCAACTTATCTATGAATATTATTTGAATCTTCTCTGAATTCTTACATGCATGATTTGATATCTTTGTAATTCTCTTCAAACTATCGGTTTGGTTTGGCCAACTAGATTGGTTTTTCTTGCAACGGGAGAAATGCTTAGCTTTGGATTCAATCTTGCGGTGTTCTTTCCCAGTGACAGTAGGGGCAGCAAGGCACGTATTGTATTGTTGCCATCGAGGATAAAAAGATGGGGTTTTCATCATATTGCTTGAGTTAATTCCTGTACATCATGTCATCTTACTTAATGCGTTACTCTGTTCTTCATGAACTCAATACTCTAGATGCAG